AAGGCCAGGCACGGTGGCTCACACCTATAATCTCAGCTCCTTGGGAGGCAAAGGTGAGTGGATCACCTGAGGTCAGGAGTTCGAGACCAGCCTGACCAACATGGAGAAATCCCGTCTCTACTAAAAACACAAAATTAGCTGGGCATGGTGGCATGTGTCTGTTATCCCAGCTACTCGGGAGGTTGAGGAAAGAGAATCATTGGAACCTGGGAGGCAGAGGCTGCAGTGAGCCAAGATCGTGCCATTGCACTCCAGCCTGGGCAACAAGAGCTAAACTCCATTTCAATAAATAAATAAATAAAATAAACTTCCTACATGCTGATTCCTGTTTCAGAGTCTACTCCCTGAGAGATCCGACTCCCAGCAATATTCAATGGAAAACCAAACTGCCCTCGCAGACCTATATTCTGGTGACATATATGTGTGTATGTGCTAATATATGATTAGAATAAAGAAGTTTAACTTTCATTTTTGAAATATTTCCCTCTTCACTATTTAAGCAAATTTGAATAACAGAGGTAATATATTTTTAGAACAGATTTGAATTGGAAAATAAATCTGAACTTCAAGATATTAATAAAAATATTTAGGGTGGTTGTGCAGAAAAGTCAGCATAGCAGGCTTGAGACTACTGTCTTTGGAAAAGCTTGCTTGCGAGGTTGGCCCTTGGCTGGTATCTGGAAACTTACTGGTAAACAGTTCCCTACACTGATATAAACCTTTTCCCAAATGAAAAGAATGATTCACTATGCCTATGCTGTTTGTACAAACAATGTGGTTTATACTGAACACCTGCTTTCCTTCCGGGAGTCTGGAATTTTGGTGCACGCCAGGCAGAGGAAGCCTATGTGATCTGCTCCCAGTAGAAACATTAGGTCCTAAGTATCTAATGAGCTTCTCTGGTAGATAAAACTTCAATTACTGTCATACTTGTTGTTGTAATTTTTTGCTGGAGGAATTATGTATGTCTTATGTGGCCCTAACTTGGAGAAAACTTTTGGAAGCTTGAGCCTAATTTTCTGAGAATTCATCCCATGAGCTTTATCCCTTTGTTGATTTTGCTTTGTTTTCCTTAGCTAAGGATGAAAGGAGGAAGGAAAGAAGGAAGGAAGGAAGGAAGGAAGGAAGGGAGGGAGGGAGGGAGGGAGGAAGGGAGGAAGGAAGGAAGGAAGGAAGGAAGGAAGGAAGGAAGGAAGGAAGGAAGGAAGGAAGGAAGGAAGGAAGGAAGAAAGGAAGGAAGGAAGGAAAGAAATATATATTAGCCATAAGTACAAATATATACCAATCCCTATGAATTCTTCTAGTGCATCACTGAATATGGGAGTGGTCTTGGGGACTCTGACAGTATACGAATTCTTCTAGTGAACCATTGAATATGGATGGGAGTGGTCTTGGGGACTCAGACACAGTGGTTATTGGACAAAATGTTGCTACCTCATTAATCTCCACCAAGGATATTTGCTATACTTGAGTGGCTCTTACCTTGACCTATATTTAAAAAGGATTCTGACTTATAGCTGATTCACATCTTGGCTTACTTTTTTATAGTGTTAAGTTACATATTAATGTTTTCCCCTACATAGGATAAAGTTACTCAGACAAGATTACCTGAGTAATTCTTCTGTATTTAGGACCAGAAAATTGCGTGTAGATATAACCTTCTAAACTCACAAAACATTTTCCTGGTTTTTTTTTCTTAAGAGACAGTGTTTTGCTCTGTCAACCAGGCTGGATTGCAGTGGTGCAATCGTGGCTCACTGCAGCCTTGAACTCCTGGGCTCAGGTGATCCTCCCGTCTCAGCCTCCCAAGCAGCTGGGACTACAGTGCACACCATCACACCCAGTCAATTTTTCTAATTTTTTGTAGAGACAGAGTCTTGCAATGTTTCCCAAGTTGGTCTTGAACTTGAGGCCTCAAGCAATCTTCCCGCCTCAGCCTCCCAAAATGTTGTACGACAGGCATGAGCCACTGCACCAGGCCCTCTGTTCTTTATCTATCTTAAATTGGTTTTATTTACATAGGAAAACAGTTTAAACTGCACTGGCATCTATGTTTATTTTAGTGTCCACTCCAGTGAACATATTTCCTGACTAAAAAGGGTAGGGCTGATGCTGTAATTGTTTAGGCATGCCTTGTCTTATTATGCTTCACTTTATTGTGCTTCAAAGATACTGCATTTTCTTACAAATTGAAGATTTGCGGCAACCCTCTGTTCAGCAAGTCGATCAGCACCATTTTTCCAATAGCATATGTTCATTTCATACCTGTGTCGTATTTTGGTAATTCTCACAATATTTCAAACTTTTAAATTATTACTATATCTGTTATGGTGATCAGTGATCTTTGATGTTACTACTGTAATTGTTTTGGGGAGCCATAAACCATGCCCATATAAAACAGCAAACTGTTTAATAAAGGTATGTATGTTCTGACTGCTCTACCAGCCAGCCATTCCTGGGTCTCTCTCCCTCTCTTTAGGCTTCTCTATTCACTAAGACACGGCAATATTGAAATTAGGCCAATTAATAACCCTACTATGGTGCTGAAGTAAAAGGAAGAGTTGCACATCTCTCACTTTAATTTGGCTAGAAATGATAAGCTTAGTCATTTAGTGAGGAAGGTATGTTGAAAGCTGAGATGGGCTGAAAGCTAGGCCTCTTGTGCCAAACAGTTAAGCCAAAGTGTAAATGCAAAGGGAAGATTCTTAAAAGAAATTAAAAGCACCACGTTAGTGAACACACAAATGATAAGGAAGCAAAACAGCCTTTTGCTGACTTGGAGAAAATGTGAGTGGTCTGGATAGAAGAAGACCAAAGAAGCCACAATATTCTCTTAAGCCAAAACCTAATCAAGAGGAAGGCCCTAAATCCCTTCAACTCTATGAAGGCTGAGAGAAGTGAGACAGCTGCAGAAGAAAAGCTAGAAGCCAGCAGAGGCTTCATGAGGTTCATGAGGCTTAAGGAAAGAAGCCCCCTCCATAACATAAAAGTGCCAAGTGAAGTAGCAAGTGTTGATGTCATACCTGTAGCTGCAATTTTTTGCTGGAGGAATTAAGTATGTCTTATGTGCTGCAGCAAGTTACCCAGAACTAGCTAAGATCATTGATGAAGGCAATTACACTAACCAACAGATTTTCAATGTACACAAAACAACCTTCTGTTGGAAAAGGATGCCAGCTGAGAAAAAGAGGAAATTCTGGCCTTTTCCATTATTATCAAACCTCTGAAGATTCTGGAAATCCCCCTATCTCGGCCCCACAGTCCATGTGACTTTAAAAAAAAAATGTGGAGGAAACTGTGAAAACCATGTCACCTAGACATTCCTAGCTAGAGAGGAGAAGACAATGCCTGGCTTCAAAGCATCAAAAAAACAGGTTGACTTGTCTAATGCAGCCGGTGACTTTATGTTGAAACTAATGCTCATTTACCATTCTGAAAATCCTAGGAATTATGCTAAACCTAATATTCCTGTACTCTGTAAATGAAACAACAAAGCCCAGATGACAGCACAAGAGTTTAGAGTTTACAGCATGGTTTATTGAATATTTTAAGCCCAGTGTTGAGACCTACTGCTCAGAAAATAAGATTCCTTTCAAAATATTACAACTCTTTGATAATGTACCTGGTTACATCCAAGAACTCTGTGGGAGATACACAAGAAGATAAATGCTGCTTAAATGCCTGTTAACATAACATCTATTCTGCTGCCCACGTATCAAGGAGTAATTTTAACTTTCAAGTCTTATTATTTAAGAAATACATTTCATAAGGTTATATCTGCCACAGATAGTGATTCCTCTGATGGGTCTGGGAGAAAACCTTCTGGAAAGGATTCATCATTCTAGATGCCACTAAGAACACTTGTTATTTATGGGAGGAGGTAGAAAAATGTCAACATTAAAAGAAGTTTGGAAGAAGTTGATTCCAACCCTCACAGATGACTATGAAGGGTGCAAGACTTCAGTGGAGGAAGTAACGGTAGATGTTTTGGAAACAGCAAGAGAACTAGAATTTGAAGTAGAGCCTGAAGAGGTGACTGACTTGCTGCAATCTGACAATAAAATTTGAATGGATGAGGAGTTGCTTCTTACAAATGAGCAAAGAAAGTGGTCTCTTGAGATGAAATCTGCTCCTGGTAAAGATGTTGTGATGTCATTTTTGAAATGACAGCAAAGGATTTCGAATATTCTATGGACTTGGTCGATAAAGCAGCAGCAGACTTTGAAAGGATTATGCCAATTTTGAAAGAAGTTCTACTGTAGGTAAAATGCTATCAAACCACGACACATATGACAGAGACATCTTTCATAAAAGAGTCAATCGGTGCATCAAACTTCGTTGTTGCCCTATTTTCAGAACCTGCCACAGGCACTTCAGCTTTCAGCAACCACCACTCTGATTCATCAGGAGCCATCAACATCAAGGCAAGACCCTCTACCAGCAAAAAGATTATAACTCACTGAAGGCTCAGATGATCAATAGCATTTTTCAGCATAAACTCTTTTAAAATTAAGGTATTTACATTGTTTTTAGACATAATGCTAATGCACACTTAATAGACTACAGTAATGGTATAATGGTATAAAAATAACTTTTATATATACTGAGAAACCCCAAAATTTGTGTAACTCACTTCATTGTGATACTAGCTACATTACAGTGGTCTGGAACCAAACCCATAATATCTCCAAGGTATGACTGTGTTTATGTCATTGTTAATGGTGTAGTTTTAAGCTCTCCTAGGTACATATTATTTTAGTTTAAAAACTAATATATTATCATGCTTGAGGACCAAAAATGCATCTGAGATCTAAAAAAAAAATGTGTATAAATAGTGGAACAGATCACAACTTCTTTAAGTTCTCTTACCATCTGCAATTTTATATTGTTGTTATAAAACCTAGAAGTTCTGCTTCTAAAATATAGTGGACACCTGTTTTGTCAGTGGCATTTATGTGCAAATGTAATTAATTAGAAAGAAAATACGTAGCTAGACTTACGTTTTCACTAGATTCTCTTGCATCCTAGGCAGTTGATCCATCTGTTGCCTTTTAGAAACTTGATGTAAACCAGAACCCTGAAATACAAAAATTTGAGTGTTTATCCTCTTAGTTCATAATTGATTTCAGAAATAAGAGAGATAGTCAATTCTCAATTAACTCTCCCATAACCTGGTTTTTCTGCAGCATATGTAAGAGAAGCTTTTTGTGTGTGAGCTAAGAAGATATTAGATCATTTGATATGAGTGACAGGTTTGGGTATACTGGAACAGAAAATAGAATTCATTCATTCCTTCAGCTAATGTTATGGAGCATCTACTATATGCTGCTACTACATTAAGCACTTAGGTTCAAAGACAAACGGGTCCTAGTTCTATTGGGGAAACAACAAAATAAATAGGTGATTATAATTAAGTGCCTTGATAGAGATGTGCACAGGTGCTTTGTAAGCATACAGGAGATGTAGTTAATTGAGGGTTTGGGGGGCTCCACATGGAAGAGTAGCCAATTAAGAACTAAGGAAAGGATATTCTAGGTAGAAGGAACAGTAAGGACCTCAGGTATAAAGCAGTAGATATATCCAGAAACTGCACATAGCATTTGGTCTAACGGCAGTCTAGGATATTAGCAGGGACAAGGTTGCAGGGACAAGGTTGCAGAGACAGGTACAGCCAAGTTGGAGAGGACCCTATAGAGACCACACCACAGCGCTTTGCTGTGATCCTCTGGGTAATGCAAACTGAAGGTTTTTAACAGGAAATAACACTATTGTATCTGTATTTCAGAATGATAGGCAGCAGAGAAGAAAAATGGGTGCGGCAGAGTTAGTTAAGACTTTGGTAACTATGCTGTTGACATTATATCTAAAGTACTAAATTTAAACCTAAGTACTACATTTAAACTTAGGGAGCCACATTTTTAAATGAACAATAACAGAATTGTCCAAAAAGGCAGCTGAAATACCTGGGCACTCTGGAACCTATGTTATGGGAATGGCTAATGTAACTTAATATTTCAGCTTAGAAAACAAAACAAAACAAAAAACTAAGGGAAGACTGAGAGGCATTTACAAATCTTTGAAAACCTATCTTGCAGGAAGAGTGTAGACTTGTTCTTATTCTTCAGAGGATGTAACTAAAACCAATGGATTTTAAGGAAGTTTCAGGAAAGGAGAATAAGAGGCATCATATGATATTTTAACAATTTTAACAATTAGAACTTCCCGATAATGAAACAGAAGAGCCTCAGATTCCTTATCTGTGAGCTAAAAGCATTATATTCCTCAACCTCTCACAGCCATTGCTAAAATTCTATGTTTATGAGGATAGAAGCTAAAGCTTAAGTTTATTATGTGCTGCAAAAAGCTCTAATTAGTCTTTCTGCCTGACTTTAAGTAATGTAACGTACCTATGTATTAAAAAGCAATGTCCGTAGTGTTCTTATGTTGTGCATATCAGAAGACTCCCAAGAGGGGGAAACTCAGTTTCATTCGAAACAGTGAATCAAGAGTGAGACAAAGCCACAGAGAGGACAGCAGCAGAAGGATAAACAGCACACTCAGCAAATAGCTCTAGTTATCTACCAATGAATCAATTATTTATGTATTCAGCCTGGGAAGAACTGCAAATCATCCATTAACCTTTCCAATCACCATAGTATCTACATGGTTAGAACTGTCCTTCACTATAGAGATTAACAATTCACTCTAGAGTGAAAATCCTTATTAACATTTATACTGGGGACAGGATTAACATCTTCCTGGGAAGCTGTTAAAATAGGCTTTTATCATATGTTCAGTGATCCTGTGGAGTCAGAGTAGGATTATTTCACATAAGTGAATTTTTCAGATAAACAAAGGTAAATGAATGCCTTGGGGACAAAAGACTTTACTTTTAACCTTAAAAGAATCCTTCAACAATGTTTTATATATCACCTTTTTCTTAATAACTTGGGCTTAATATTATGAACATAAATTTCTATTTTATGTTCAGTTCAGTAAAGAATTTTGCATATTTCCTTTTTGCCACTCTTTGTGAAAGGGAAGAGAAAGCATGAGTCACCCTGCCTGACCTCAGGGAGGAACCTACAGCTGAGTGAAGCAAACAGATGTATCAGCAATAAGGGACCAGGAGGAAGGCTAAGGCAAGCAGAAATTATGGTGCCTCTGTCACAGAGAGAGCTGCTCGGAAAATGAGAAAAGAAACATAGGAAAGTGATATTCACCATTTACTGGCATTTAAAACCTACTATGTGCCAGAAACTTCACCCAGCACTGCACATGTATTATTTCTCTACATACTCACAAAACCCCTGCAAGATACTGATACTTCCTTTTCACAGGTGAGGAAGGAAATTAAGGCCCAGAAAGGTCACACAGTAGCAAGTGCAGAGCTGGGATTCAGATTCGGATTTGCAATCCCACTACAGTCTGGTCTTTTCATTACGTCATGGCCCCATCAAGAGGTAGTGTTTGTGCTAGACCTTGAAGGAAGTGGAATTGGCATGTATGAGAAGGAGCACATTCCAAGCACATAGTCTGAGGAAAGGCATAAGGGTGCCTGTGTTCTAGGAGGAATCAATGCATCCAGCCCAGTATCAAGGACCATGAAGTTTGAGCTAATCATCCATTTTACAGACAAGAGACTGCAAGAACTGATCCTATCTTGTCTCAATTTCTTCTTGTTTACCTTAGTCAACACTGCAACACACACTTCCCTTTACCCATGACAGACCTTTCTCAAAATTTTCTAAATATCCCCCTATTAGCTCTAATCCCCAAACCTAATGCCCTTCCTCTCAACCCTTTCATTAATCCCTCTAGATATTCTGGATCAGTGACTAGCAGATTATTCTTCATGCTACTCCCATCCTCAAAATCCTCTACCTCCTTGTCAGACCTAGTTGTGTCTTCAGGACTCCAACCCTCTTTTCGGCTCTTTTTCCCTTGATTGTCGCTGTTGAACTTCTTCACAGCTATATCCTAGACTATTTTTTCTTTTCCCACTGTATATTCTCTCCAATGCATTTCATTCATTCAATGGACTTCACTTTTTTTTTTTTGAGACAGAATCTCGCTCTGTCGCCCAGGCTGGAGTGCAGTGGTGCCATCTTGGCTCACTATAAGCTCTGCCTCCCGGGTTCACGCCATTCTCCTGCCTCAGTCTCCCGAGTAGCTGGGACTACAGGCGCCCACCACCACACCCGGCTAATTTTTTGTATTTTCGGTAGAGATGGGGTTTCACTGTGTTAGCCAGGATGGTCTTGATCTCCTGACCTTGTGATCCACCCGCCTCGCCCTCCCAAAGTGCTGCGATTACAGGCGTGAGCCACCATGCCTGGCCTGCTTCACTTTCTATATGTTAACAATTTTCAAATCTTTATTTGTTTCCTGAGAGTCATATATCCAACTGCTCTTTGGACACTTCCATTTGGATAATACACACTGAAAACTGAGTTTACATCCTAATCTTAAAACATTACCAAAATAAGATTAATACTGATGACATATTTAAATGTCAGATATTATGCTATACAAATACTAAAAGATGTGGTGAATGCTGTGAAACATTGAGATGGTCTTTTAACTATAACATTAGAAATCATAAATAAAAGATAGCTCTGACAAGTTCAAAACAAAAACTCTACAATACCAACAATATCATAAATAAAACTGAAAGGCAAATGAATAGCTTGAAAATAGATGCAACAACTTTCATAACTTACTGATCACCTCCCTGTCCTGTATTTATAAGTACGTACTTCTACCAACAGCAATTCTGATCTCTCAGACCTTACCATGCATTATTATAAAGTGAAGTGCCTCGAATTTCATGATAGCACAGAGATAGCGGCTACCTGTTGGAATTCTAGTGATTAGGGATGAAACTAAAAGGATAATTAAGGAAGCAAATATGAAAAATAATCTCTTAATTTGGAAAGCTGTTATGTCCTTTTTACTTTTTTTTTTTTTTTTGAGATTGAGTCTTGCTCTGTCATCCAGGTTGGAGTGCAGTGGTGTGATCTCGGCTCACTGCAACCTCCGCCTCCCAGGCTCAAGCTATTCTCCTGCCTCACCTCCAAGTAGCTGGGACTACAAGTGCTCACCACCAGGCCCAGCTAATTTTTGGCATTTCTTGTAGAGACAGGGTTTCACTATGTTGGTCAGGCTGGTCTCAAACGCCTGACCTCGTGATCCGACCGCCTCGGCTTCCCAAAGTGCTGGGATTAGAGGCTTGAGACACCACACCCAGCCCTTTTTATCTTTTATACAAGTTGTGTATTTTCCTGTCTACCCTCCATATTTAGAAACTTAATCCCAACATCTGCTTCTCTCCCAAACCAAAAACAAAACCTAGAAAAGTGAAAAACGTAATTTATAGTTAGAAAAAACACTTAGAATTTGGAAATAAAAAAGTTACCTGAGACATTTCAGCTAGGTATGTACGGCGTTCATTGTTGATCTTCTGGTAAGCCTATGTGAAGATACAAAAGTAAAGGGTCCAGCATATGAGAAGATTAGCAATACTAGCAAGACTAAGTTAAGGTGTATGTCTCTATAGTGTAGGAAATAGTTTTGTAAGCATTTTGTGATAATTATAGAGTAGGTTTGTAGATAACATTAGAAATAGTGGCAGTTTCAAAGGAATTGCTAAGTATGTAGAGTAAAAACGAACCTTTGATTCTTGTTCCAGTTTAAGTGCATTGTATTTCACTTGACTTTCAAGAGTCCTCTTTTCTTTTTCTAGCTGTTTAAGTAATGTGTTTAAGGATTCCTGAAAATGTAAATAGTAAAATTTTATATGCATTCATGTTCTAAACAAAATAAGAAATGACCATCAATTTATTCACTAGCAAATGCCTTGTATACCTAACATTCTGTGATTTCATAATTCTATGATGTGCACTTTTTTTTTTTTTTTCCAGACAGTCTCTCTGTGTCACCCAGGCTGGAGTACAATGGCGTAATCTTGGCTCACTGCAACCTCTGCCTCCCAGGTTCAAGCGATTCTCTTGCCTTATGCTCCCAAGTAGCTGGGATTACAGGCACCTGCCACCATGCCAGGCTAACTTTTTGTATTTTCAGTACAGACATGGTTTCACCATGTTGGCCAGGCTGGTCTCGAACTCCTGACCTCAGCCTGGTCAGGCAGGTGATCCACCTGCCTCAGCCTCCCAAAGTGCTGGGATTACAGGCGTGAGCCACTGCACCGGGCTGATGTGTACTTTTTAAGTAATGGCAATAATCACAATATTTATTGAACCCTAACAATATGTCATGTGTTGTACTAAGTGCTTTTCTTTTTTTCATATTAAACTATCTTTATTTGAAAAACGGTACCATACAAACCTAACACTGTCTATCAAACTTCAATAAGGGCAATTTCAGCGTCAACTAATGAATAGTAGCTCAACAAACAAGAGACCAATCAAAAGCGCTTTCAGAGGAGCAGCACTGGCTGATGTTCTGCTGAGGCTGTGGGCATTCAGGAACCGGCTACAGGGAAAACAGAACCAAACCCGCTGGTGCTTTGGACCCAAGCCCTCACATCGTGACCTGCCTCCCTCCTGGGAGACCTGGCACTTCCAGGTTCCTTTGGCACTTCCTGGCCCCTGTGGGGGCAGGAACTTGGCCTCACAGTCAGCTGGCTTCTGCCTGTTGTGGTCATTTTTTTTTCCAGAGTGCCCAGAGTGCTCTCTCAGTGGACATGGCAGTCACCCAGCTTTCCTGAGGTGTTTTCTCATGGAAGAGGGTCTTGTTATGAAAACTGGAAGTATCTTTATTCAATTCTTGGGCCAGTTCTTGGAACAACTTGTAGCAGTGTGATATAAGCAGTTCAAGTTTTCAGGTGCCTTGTGAAGTCTCTGGTCGGGGTCCAGGCAGTAGGTGTCCTCCTCCATGGACTGCTGCTGTGGCCCCATCATGTGTTCTCCATGCAGTTCAGATAGAGTGGGGAGGGTCAGCTACAGCTTCAGGAACTCCCCCTCAGGCTGCGCCCTTGCACCCTGCAGAAAGGCCTGCTCCCTGGCGTGGTGGCTCACACCTGTAATCCCAGCACTTTGGGAGGCCGAGGCAGGTAGATCACTTGAGCTCAGAAGTTCGAGACCAGCCTGGCCAACATGGCGAAACCCCGTCTCTACTAAAAATACAAAAATTAGCTGGCATGGTGGCACATGCCTGTAATCCCAGCTACTCGGGAGGCTGAGAAAGGAGAATCACTTGAACCCAGGAGGCAGAGGTTGAAGTGAGCCAAGATCGTGCCACTGCATTTCAAGCTGGGTGGCAGAGCAAGACTCCATGAAAAAAATGGAAAGGCCTGCTTGCCGACCAGACTTTGGACTTGTCCTGTGAATTCTTTCCTTCTTTGGATTTCTTCCCACAATTGCATTCTGCTTCTCCAACTACCCCTCAGGAAATAAGAAGGATGCACCTATGCTACCATTGTCATCCACAGTCTTCAGAGGAACTTGTGGCCGGGATGCTGGGGGACCCACTATGTCCTTCGCTGATCCCCATTCACTGCCAAGTCCCCATCCTCCACGTAGTCTCTTACCACCCTTGAGCAGATACAGGGCGCTCAGCACGGTGTGGGCCAGGGAGGTCAGTTGTCTCACTCCAGTATTCATGGGCCATTTCATTCTTGCCTTGGTCTGCTCCGGCCTTTCCTTCTTCTCCTTCTTTGCCTGCAAGTGTTGCTTCCATCTTGCAATTTCTTGGCTGGGCAGTTGTGCAGGTTGCTGATGGTCAGTGCTGTCATTCAGATCATCTGCAGTTTGTCCTTAAAGATCTCCAGTGTGCTGTGAAGTGTGAGGGATGTGATTTGCATCAGTCACTTGGGGAAGTTCAGGAGGCCTGTTTTTTCATGCTTTTCTCAGAAGCTCACTGTTTTAGTTTGTTCTCATGCTGCTATGAAGAAATACCCGACACTGGGTAATTTATAAAGAAAAGAGGTTTAATTGACTCATGGTTCTGCATGGCGGGGGAGGCCTCAGGAAACTTACAATCATGGTGGAAGGCACCTCTTCACAAAACGGCAGGAGAGAGAATTAGAGCAAGCAGGTGAAATGCCAGACACTTATAAAGCATCAGATCTTGTAAGAACTCGCTATCATGAGAACAGCATGAGGGAAACAGCCCCCATAATCAATGACCTCCACCTGGTCTCGCCCTTGACATGTGGAATTATTACAATTCAAGATGAGATTTGGGTGGGAACACAGAGCCAAACCATATCACTCAGTCATGTCCTGAAGGGAAGGCCTGCTCATTTCATTTAGAATCCCTCAAGAAGAGGTTTTGGAGCAGTCAAGGACTGACCTCCAGCATGGGTGATACGAGGCCCCCACTGACCTGGGGTGCTGACCACATCTTGGCCCTGGCCTTTCTGTGGACCTCACCCTGGTCTGAACCCCTCTGGGCCGTCTCTTCCCTTCTCACTGTATGTCATCTCCGGATCATAAAGGCCACCACAGCAGCACATGTCCAATCACCCAGAGTGTCCATAGGTTCTCTGGCACTAGTCCTAGGCTGCACATCACTAATTACTACTGCCCACAGGTGGGCCAGCAGAAGCTGGATGGGCATTGTGTGGCAGACAGAGGTACTCTGTGGTTCCTGAGGGCTCTGCAGCTCTGCTTCCATTTGCCAGTGGCCTGTGGGCCAGAGCTTACCACTGGTGTTCTGTCTCTAACACAAACAAGGGCCTATCGACCAGGTAGACCACTCACTGAGCTGGGGGTAGGGGAGGCACCTGGTATTATAGAAAACTGTATTCTTGATTTTGCTGTACAAATAGAAAGTGACATTACTTACGCAATGCCTTGGGGGAGTGGAAAGAGCTCATGGCAGCCCCTAGCTCAGGCCACTCCAGGCCCCATCTAGCCCTACAGCACAGCTACAAGGTCAAAGCAGGGCTATGTCATAGCCCTGTGTCCACGTATAATCATCTCAGGGCAGTGTGGTGGCCACCCCTGGTGAGGCTCATTACCCTAATTTCAAGTTTCCTTCTGCTTCAGGGAAGCCTGGTCCTGCCTACAAAGAGTCTGTCTACCAGTTGGGCATGGTGGCTCATGCCTGTAATCCCAGCACTTTGGGAGGCCGAGGCAGGCAGATCACGAAGTCAAGAGATCGAGACCATCCTGGCCAACATGGTTAAACCTCGTCTCTACTAAAAATACAAAAATTAGCTGGGCGTGGTGGCGCACGCTTGTAGTCCCAGCTACTCGAGAGGCTGAGGCAGGTGAATCGCTTGAACCCAGGAGGTGGGGGTTGCAGTGAGTCAAGATGGCACCACTATACTCCACCCTGGCGACAGAGCAAGACTCCATCTAAAAAAAAAAAAAAGAAAAAAAGAAAAACAATCTTTCTAGCTTACTAGATGGAGCTCCTTGTAAAAGGGACTATGTTTTCTTCATCTCCATATCCCCAGTAGCTAGCCAGTGCCCAGTATACACTAAGGGCTCAGTCATTGTCTTATTTTCTTATCTACTCTGACTTAGGACATGTCACTTCCCCTCCTGACCTCCATATTCAGATCTGTGAATGAGTAAGTGGGCAAAGGTCCCTCTAGCTTTAAAATCCCTCCAATATAGAGAGAACTCAGAAACCAGAACCAGAAGCTGAGGAATGGCGAATGGAGCATTTTCCCTGGTGTGATGGATGAGACCATAGATCTGGTTACTAGGGTGATTTTTTGGCCACTTAAAAGTCCCTGCAGAATTTGAACCTAGTTTTCAAATCAGACTCTAGAATGATCTTCAGTGTTGGTGGTTTTGCTTTTGTTTTGAGACTGTTGTTGACACAGCAGCTTCTGGAAATCTTTTTCATGGAGAGTATGGGGGCTTCTTTGGCCAAATTGGGTGGGTGCAGGCTCCATCAACTCGGCAGCTGCTGTCTGGGCCATAGCCTGTCTGCTGAGTCCTGCTTCCCTGCGGAGGTTTTTGTCAGAGGCATCTGAACAAGAGCAACTCCATCTTGAATACAGGCTGGGTAAAATAAGGCTGAGACCTACTGGGCTGCATTCCCAGGAGGTGAGACATTCTTAGTCACAGAATGAAATAGGCTGACACAAGGTACAGGTCACAAAGACTTTGTCAATAAAAGGATGCAGTAAAGAAATGGGGCAAAACCCACCAAAACCTGAGATGGTAACAAAAGTAACCTCTGGTTATCCTCACTGCTCATTATATGCTAATTGTAATGTATTAGCATACTAAAAGACACTTCTATCAGCACCATGACAGTTTACAAATGCCATGGCAACATCAGAAAATTACTTGTATAGTCTTAAAAGGGAAGGAGCCCTCATTTCCAGGAATTGCCCACCCCTTTCCCGGAAAACTCATGAATAATCCACTCCTTTAGCATATAATCAAGAAATAAGCAAAACAAAATAGCCAATCAGCACCCCTGGGGGCTGCTCTGCTGATGGAGTGGCCATTCTTTTATTCCTTTATTTTCTTAATAAACTTGCTTTCACTTTACACTATGGATTTGCCTCTAATTCTTTCTTGTGCAAGATCCAAGAACCTTCTCTTGGAATCTGGATGGGGATCCCTTTCCGTTAACAGTTTCTCCAGACATTACAGTGTGACTGGCCATGTCATCTGTCACAGGTGTGAAAACAATCAAAACCAAGAGCCTGAAGCTGCCGGATGAATGCCTACTGAAGAATCCTGCTCCCTGCAGGCACATCTAAAATGTGTTCCTGTGCTCGGGCCCTGCTCTTTCCAAGAAGGCAGGCTCCAGGGATTCCCAGGATCCCCCTCCCTTGGA